ATTATTTTTGACGCTCTTTCGAACGCCGCCTTCCGCGTATCGCTACGTGGCCCAGGAGCCGAGTTAGAAGGGGGGGTGTTCAAACACCCCCCCCCCCCAGCAGGGCGTGGAAATCCAGGACCCCCAGCCGGGCGCGGGTTAAGGTGTATCAAGTCATCGGATACAAGCTGACTATCAGCCCAAAGTTGTTTCTTCATTAGACAAACACTATTCTTTAGAATTGTGTTTTTCTATTGTAAAACAAACTGAGGGTGGCTCCTTTTTGGGATAGGATTCGTGTTTGGTGCGGGAGATCCGGGCACCTTGATAGGCTTCCAAACGAACCGATAGATTTTGATGAAATTTTCAGGGCAGCTGCCCCCACAGATTATCTACCACGAAACACCCTCAGCTAAGAATATAATTATTTTTCTTGCTCGTGGCACGTGCACGTGTTTTAGGCCCATAGGCTTCAACATTAGGTGGATTATGTAGTTTGCTCTTGAAATAAATTGTGTTTGTATCAAATGCTGCAATGATGAAATATAGGACATGTAGGACATATTACCTATTTCAGAATTGAAATAGTGACCAATAAGGTTATTGGCTACTATTCCAATTCTTAATATGAAGAAACTGGTACTCAATTATCAATCGCTGAGAGTTTCAAAGTCATCGTTCAGTCGGTGTAGCTATACAGTCAGCCTTTGAACTTTTTCTGAGGTTAGGCCACTTGACGTGACCTGGTGACGAATGACCCGGGTCTGATATTTTCACAAGATGTGCGGAAAAGATGTGCAAACAGGTGCCGCCGTTTTTTTAGCTAGTCGCGAAAAACCTGAGGGGGGCGTGAAAACACTCCCCCCTCCCTCCAGCACGGTGCGGGTTAACTATCATTTACCTATATTGTTAACCATTTTTATCGTTTGTCTCAATCGAATTAAAAGGTATTTATTTGAAGAGGGAACGATTTTAGTATCATATGACCTTTCCTCGTAAAATATAAATTAGCAAAAAGGATATATTGATATTGATATTTCGATCACAGATCTTCGTCGGAACTGTTAACAAAAGACAGAATAAGAATACATTTCTTGTCTGCTCCTATCTTTATCTCCTATTTCACTATTCGTTATCACGAGCAATTAAATCTTAACCCGCGCACCGACGGGGGTCTGCGCCAACTTAGTACCGACGGGGGGGGGGCGGATGACCGCCCCCCCCTGAGATCTCGAGAACGAAGCAAGATAGCGACAAGCGGTAAACGGCATCGGATACGCACGGACAAGGTCTACAATTTTTATAAAGGTCATTTTCAGGTCAGGTCAAAGATGACGTCACAGGGGTCGAAAAAGTCAAAATGGCGGCGCTAGATATGGAGAGGGCTTTTCTCGAATAACTTTCGAAGTAGTCGAGATAGGAACAAACTAAGGGCATCATCGTGATCCTCTCGTCAATCCGCATCGAATGATATATATGTTGACCTCGAAAGGTCAAGGTCAAAGGTTGACCTCAGGTCACGTGACCTCGAGGTCATCATGTATATCATTCGATGCGTCTTGACAAGCTGAACACAATGAGACCATCCGCGCGGCTGTATCTTGTTCCTGTAAGGAGTTATTGGCAAAAAACCTTTGGTGACCTTTGATGACGTCACATGACCTTACAGCTGCCCAACAGCAAAACAGACCTCAAGGTAGTGAAGGTTGATCGTATGTGAAGTCATGTATGGTATATGGGGCCATTCCGACCCGTTTTAGTAGTAAAAACAGGGAGTTGATTTTTCCCCCATTGACTTATAATGGGGAGGTCGCGAAATTGACCTGACCTTAGGTCACCGACATCAAAATTTCGAGATATACAAATTGTAGCTACTAATGACCTAATAACATCCTGCGACTTTCAAAGGCCTCCGACATCTACTGTAGCTCTGGCACGGTGACAAAGTTGCAAAAAAGTGACTTGAGGTTGGGTCATTCAAAGTGACCTGGTGACCTGACCTTAAAAGTTAGGAGGTTCAAACTAACACACCATGTGTAAAATTGATGAGAGAATAGTCATACCAAATTTCGCGGCGCTACGCGCCGCGGTTTTCCCGCTATCCGCGAAAAACCTCAGGGGGGGGGGGGGCGGATATCCGCCCCCCCGTCGGTGCGCGGGTTAAGTACATCCATTTTTCAAATCATGGTAACTTTTAGTCGACATACGAATACACGTAACTGAAATTTGTTAAGCCTAATTGACAAACTTCTTACATTAGAAAATACAAATCAAAATCCTAAATTGGCGCACTGCATTCTAACACTCATCTACATATACGAGACAGGTATGTACATCCAGTGACACACATCCATACACTTACATAATAGGCCAAGACGATACATTCGAGTTCAGTTCCGGTCTGCGTTTTCTAATCAAAATAGACTCTGCGATTTTGCGATCTGAGATCTGAGATGTAGATGAGTGTTAGAATGCAGTGCGCCAATTTAGGATTTTGATTTGTATTTTCTAATGTAAGAAGTTTGTCAATTAGGCTTAACAAATTTCAGTTACGTGTATTCGTATGTCGACTAAAAGTTACCATGATTTGAAAAATGGATGTACAGTCCACAGCAGAAGTAATGTGGGGTTTCAGTCATGGGTATGTTCTGCTTCTAAAGCTTAGGAACGATTAGCCAGACTACAATGAAACTTTGAATGTAGCTTATATGTATCGTCACCCTTGCAGCTGCAACTTTAGCTATTGACATCTTCTTTTCGATCACTCCGCATTAAACAATCGCCAGTCAAAGCCAACCGTTGAGATTGGTAAAACCCTACATTACTTTAGCGGTGGGCTGTACTTAAGATTTAATTGCTCGTGATAACGAATAGTGAAATAGGAGATAAAGAAAGGAGCAGACAAGAAATGTATTCTTATTCTGTCTTTTGTTTACAATGCCAACGAAGATCTGTGATCGAAATATCAATATCAATATATCCTTTTTGCTAATTTATATTTTACGAGGAAAGGTCATATGATACTAAAACTGCTTTTACTAATGTTCCTCGCACAAGCGCTCAACAACATTAAACACAGGGAACGATTTTGTTTATGTAATACGCACCGAGTCCGTATCCTGATGTAATGCATCTGTTTATTTTCGTTGTTGAACATGAGTCGACACATAAATAAAGGCATAAGATAAGATTTACGAGCAAGAGTTGCGTTATGATATTAAGTGGGTTTTAAAATGTGTGTTTGCCTACGTTATTTGATCACTTTCAGTATTACGCATGAAGCTCGAAGACCTTGTTCAGAACGAAGCAGCATTTCCTGACCAACACTTCTTGAGATCAAATCAAGCGGTCAATATAGATTGCATTAGTGATAGTTCCGCTGTCGCCGTCTGCGCTGTTCCATCCTGTGGCAGCTGGTGGCTGTTTTTCTCCGCTGGGTCCGCTGGGGTCCCCTGTGGGGGTTCGCTGAGGTCCCCGCGGTGGTCCGGCCCGCCATGGGAGTGTCGCGCCCACCGAGCCGTGTCCCGCGACCAGATGGGGCGCGGACACAGACCCCTGGTATAGCCGCGGCGAGTCAACAGAGGGCAACGACCCGACGACTGGGCCGTGCAAGACGTCAGACCTCGGGTCTCATCACCAGCCAATCAGGACGGGCCATTTGGCTCTGCCAGGAACTGCACCGGGCTCGAGAGCTGTTGGAGCTCACTCCAGACGTCAGGAGCTGAATGGGAGAGGATATGTCATGTCGCGTTAGGACCAGGTAGCCAATTACTGAGTTAGATTCGCAGTTCGTCTCACCACTTTTCTTATCGTTTATTTTCTAATTTCGTTTCAATTGTGCAGCCAATTACGCCACATGACAGTGGGCTCGAATGCCTCTTAGCAGAAATGTCTGCTTCTCCCTGACATTTAGGCATTTTATCAAGTCAAATGCATACCTGATTTCAAATTAGGAAAAAGTGTCATTAAGTCACAGTGTATTTGGGATATAGTAAGCCTTTAAAGTTATGATGCAATGCGTTTTCCAATGGTAGTTAGTTGAAAAGTTAAACGAACAAAACCTTATAAACACCGGAAATGTATTACTGCAATTTAAACTACACCTGCTCCGTGATGAGACATTGTCCCGCAGTGAATGGCCGCCACTCGGTGGAACTGGTCCGCTTTTTCGGCCCCATTTGTTTCAAATTACAGAGAGATGTCTGGAGTGATTTGTGGCTTAACCGACTTCAGATGGGAAGAATGCCCTCTAACGACTGACAGTGTACCTTAATGCGGACCGACTTGTGAAATGGACCGGAAATTACGTGGCGTATCGGATTCGCCACGAGACCGTGCGGGCTTCAGACATCCCGGGAAGTCACGCCTCAGGCAACGGCGGCGGATTCAGGGGGAAGGGGTATCGGGGGCTGTCGCCCCTGAAAAGCTCACAGGGCAAACATATCTTCTTACTCCCTGCATAATTTGTGGCAAAAAAAACTTAGGCAAGAAATCATTAACTTTTCCTTTCGATCACCTAAACATATAATGATACGCGTACTTTGCATTGTCACACGTTGCCCTTCTTAAATGACAAGAATACCCTTTCAATAGAAGTCTTGTAAGCATTTTAGATAGAAGCATTTGAACCGGCGCCTATTAGATCAAATTTTAATTCCCTCGACGCATTCCCAGCAGAGGAAGAAGATGGCAGCAACAATGATGTGAAAATATTGATTAAAGGCCTTACCAGAAAAGCAGTTTCCGCAAAAAAGCAATTTTGACAGTTTTGTCCTCTGCAGGGCACAAGCAGACCTCATGTGAAATTTTAATTACGAGCGGGCAAAGCGAGCGAAATCTTTGACAGGGACTCCAATAGTAATGCAGCTTTGCAGCTCGCTCATGTATCTGTACATTTGAAAGCTCTCATGCCATGTACATTTGAAACTCGTTTTCGTATCTGGGAGATTGAGTTTGGACTGTTCTAGCGCCGGCCCTTTGGCGGCCTCTGTGTGACCCGCCCGGTCCCCTTCCCGCCGCAGGCAGTCTCGGAATCCGCCTGCTGCGCTCGGAGATCCCGCGCTACGTGGCGGCCGGCCAGCACGTGCCGCTCTCGTGCCACGTGGTGCTGGACTGGCGCGAGCGGCTGTACGCGGTCAACTGGTACCGGGACGGCCACGAGTTTTACCGGTACAACCCGGGCGAGGTACCGGCCGCCCAGGTCTTCCACCAGCCGCACATTCACGTCGATGTGAGTACGTTCGCGAGTACGCGCCGGCCACATGAGATATAAAGATAGTTAGGTAAATCAGATGAGTTAGTATCATGTAGTGATCTTCTTGATTCGCGTTTTTTTTTTATCTGACAGCTTTAATAACTTATGTATCGGATTAGTGTAATATTAGCCCTGGTTGTGCATGTGCGCGTGCGAGTGTGTGGATAGGGGATTCGCCCTATAGCCGCCTTATGGCCGCCATTTTGATCTGACACTGTTACTGACCACAGATGAATCGCTGTTTGCTTTAGAACAACAGTCAGTGCAAAGGGCATCCCGATACCAAAGCTTGGCGGTTCAATATCTTACACATCACGCTGACGTATGTATACCTGAGTGTGTCGCTCGCTAACTCTGTTTGTTGATACGACAGTTCAAAGACGGACGTCACCACCATTAGCGGCGGAACACCTTCAATTAAGGGGGGGGGGGCACTGCCGACTTTTGATCCTATTCTTTCCATGCGACGCCCATAGGGCTAATGTTAAAATGCCGAAATCAAAGGGGGACACAGTGCCCCGGTGCCCTCCCCATTCCGCCGCCTATGGTCACCACTTTACCTCTGCAACTCATCTTATTTGTGTACCTGCACATAGGTATTTACGAAACACGTCCAGGTGACAGAAGTCCAAGAAGGACTTACGTAAGACTGAAAGACAATAACGCAAGACAAAAATACGGATGCCTTTTCACCGCTAAAGTCGACCATCCTTATACAACTCAAGACAAAAACAAACCTAAACGAAAACTAAAACGTCGACATGTCTATATAGTCATTTCATCAGCAACGTGAACACCAGTTTTTAAAGGGACCATCCCACCTTAACATTAGTTTTGAGTTGAGATAGCCAAGTTTGCGGTCAGGCTCAGAAACCACCATTTCTCCTGGTCGCAACCCCCGCAGCTTTATGGTGTTCAAGAAATTTCTTCCCTTTACTTGCAGGGTGGGACCAGCGTAGTCCCTATCTCTTAACCATTAGCGGTTTTTTGATGACGTCAGCAGTCATTTCAACGCCCGCCATTCCTTGAACCCGAGTTTTGCTGACCTTGAGCTCCCTTTGTTATAAACGTGAAATGAGAAATCCGTTGTCGGCGCTGAGAAAGCCTATTGCTTTTCATTTTAATTTGAATATTAGAAGATACCCACCACTGGAACTTGGACTGATATTATACCAAGGCCGAAGATGATCAAGCTGCCTGCTATATCTGGAGCTTGGTGTTCAACTTCAACAAGGAATAAAAAACAAAATATCAAAGCAAACTGGATATGGTAGGTACTGCAAGTTAAAGTCCAAAGAAATTTGAAGAGCTGACAATTGACATTAATTCTTTTCCTGCAAGGTTTCCATATGGAGATCACACCATGAATAAATATTTTTGATGTTAACAGTTAAAAGGGGATTGATCTTCCAGTTTTGACGAAAGACGCTGCTGACTGTCTTTGGAAAAGGATGTCGGCATGAGGTGCAATTTTGCTTGTGAAGTGGTTATAACTGGTCTTTTCACAGTATTAAATTAAATGTGCCATTGCAGCCAAGTGTGTTATCATGTAAGGTAAAATAAAAACTACAATGTTGGTTTTACGAGCATTGAGAAGGCTGGTAGGTAACACCTGCCTGTGCTCGTAAATCATGCTGCCAAAGTATTCTAAATTAATTTTATCATACACTTTTGTTGTCCAGAATGGTTGCACTATTGTTTGGTATCATATTATTCCATGTAAATATGGTAGTGTAAAGTCTGACCAACATGTTACCAGATTTGAAGCTGTTACGTTACCTAAGTACCTGTTTTTTACTGGCATGGTGAATGTCACCTGGATTTTGTTTTGAGGTGCAGACCTAGTAACTCTGACTACATGGGTTTGAAGCTATTATCTATTCTGTTTTTACTGGCCTGGTGAATGGCGACTGATGTTGTCCGTGGATGGCACTGAAACAAATTTTGAGTGTCATGTACAGTGTTTTAATACAATGCTGAGGGCTGAAAGTTGTCTTGTTTAGAGTGGTGAAAGTTCAGGATATGCCAGCCACCATGGTGGGTCAGAGTTAATGTGTTGCAGTCAGTTCGGCTTCGGCAAGCACACGGATGGGCATACGCATCAAGACCTGCTCTGCCATACTTTCAGCCAATTTTACCTAGGTAAGTCTTTTCTTTTTTTTTCTGCCAAAAGCTATGACATTGTGAATTTCAGTGCTGTGGCCTGTGTGTAGCTTTCAGGAAAGCAATTCTAAATAAAGCTCTGATAAAGTGCAAAATCAGCAATGCAGCCCTCTATTACATTTTCTACAACATCTTACTTGTTCCTTGCATGGAGAGAAAAATGCAATGTTATGAATTCGTTTATTCACATAATTTGACAAGCATGCAGTTACCTGCTACTATCACTGCACAAAACAGAGCAGAAAACATCAGTTGATCAAACACAAGACACAACAGAAGTTTACAACATAGGGCTGCCGAACCTGCTTCCTCCCACCACAGTTGATGCCATTTCCTAGCCTGGCTTGATGTGAGCACTGAATTGCTGCTTTGTCTAATTACAGCTCACTACCATTCAACTTAAACTACTCTCTTTAAAGTAAGAGTGAGAGCGTTCAGTGTTCATAGCAGCTCGACAGACGACAGACAACAAACATCTTGACAAACCAACCAGTATTTGATTTGGCTAATGATTTATGTGCTTGTTGTATCATGGCCAAACTACTTTAAAAGCAATAATCCCTGTTTCATCTTGATCTTGCTTTTATTTCCATTTGAACTCAGATCTTGAAACAATCATCTGAAGTGATATCAGATACTGGCTTCTGTTTCTCTTGAAAGCAAGTTAAAACAACAATGATAAACTGAGGCAGGAGATGTGAGTTGTGGCAGTAGATTTTTGATTCAACATATGTCAACCTTATATTGCTTGAGACCTCTGTGACAGACAAACAAATATTTATAGTTTTTTGATAGTTTGGATTCTTGGCTTGATTTAGCAGATCAGCTGAGAACCTTGACTTTGAAATCACATAAATGTCATGGTACCCGAACGAATCCTCGCATGACATTTCTTCGTAGCACAATCTTTTCGTCCGCATTTCTTCGTCTACAAATCTTCGTCAGTGCATTTATTTGTCCCTCAATGCTTACTCTTGCATATATTTGCGTTGAAGAAGAAATGCGAGCCGATTTTCATAGACCCTGATGCGAGACAAAGTAATGCAATACGAATAAATGCCCTGACGAAGATTTGCAGACGAAGAATTGCGATACGAAGAAATGCCATAAGAAGAATTGTCCTGGAATCCTTTATTGGCCATCATATATTGACCTTGATAAGATAAACGCATCATTCGCGCAATATTTGTCGCACTTTGATACCAAACTATTGCTTCCAAATGCCGACGTAAAGAAAACCTTTATGTGACGTCATAGAAACAGCGGAGTTCCCAAAAAGTAAACAAAAATAAAAGTCTTATATCTCGAAAACGGGTGAATATTTTCCGGTAAAATTTGGTAGATGTTCATTTTCGCTCTTTGTGATTCACGCTACATCACTTTTATGCCAATTCATTAACTTTTTTGAAGGTGGGAGGGTACCGCATATTCAAACAGCACACACGATAAGGAAGATATCACTTCACATCTTCAATAGCAGAGCAACAAAAAAAGCACAATAACTAGTCAATTGAATGACGAACAGCAGTGCCAGCTGGCAGCTGCTGTGCGCGGAATACCAAACAGGTGATATCCTGGCTGCGCCGCTGCGGTGCTGTTTTTTTTTTCACTCGAGTCAAGGTCACCGGTGAGTCACTATCGCGCCGAGAGCCGAGAGGGAGTCTACCCTATTTTTGAAAAACCTAGTAAGTGTCAAGGTGACGAAACGGAGAAAAACGAGGAAACGTTAACATGTGCTAGCCTAAGCAAATGCGCATAACATGCATCAACCTGAATAGTGTTTCTATATGTATTGTATGTGCGCAATTCAGAAATGCTATCCAAATTTTTCAAATGCTTACCAATAATGTAAATGTGGACTTGCTAGATTAGCTGTGGCATTGGACTAAGAGGGAAAACCTAGCATGGTTACTTACTATGCTTTTCTGTGCCAGATGTGCTTTATCTATGAAATAGGTTGTCAACAAAAACTGAAACAGTTGTCATTTCAAGAATGCTCCTATGAAGAAATTCTTTGTAGTTTTGTGCTCATCTTACCTTGTTGAATTCCATTTCCTGCTCTTAGTTTTGTATTTAAATCAAAAATGAAGATTTTTTCTTAAAAAAGGCTGAAAAGTGGGTGGGGCTCCGCCCCCCCCCCCCTGTTCCTACGCCTATGGACCAGACGGCTCATAAAGAAGTGATTTTCACGAGTGCTGTTCACGGGCACCTGCCGTAGCTGCAGCTCGGCGTTTACCCGTGGCCATAGATCCCGCGGCTGACCGCCGAGCCGCAGGCGCAGCTACCGCAGGTCCCCGTCAACAGGACCACGGTTATGTTTTTTAGAAGTTACACCTGCATATCTGCAGTGTACGCCATCTCATCATCATGCTGGCTGACTACAGTGCCTCGGCATGCATCAGTATCTCTCGCTATCTTCAACACAACCCAAATCAAAATAGTTTATGCTACTAACGCACTTCACACACCCTGATATCGTGCTCTTTAGACGCATTCGGTATCGCAGAGGCAGACGTAGATTACACTGGGTCCCTCAGAAACTCCTCGGGAACGTCAGGAAGAGGTGCAGGGATACTGGATCCGGCACCCCTGCCACTCGTACACTCGGGGGCAGATTGATGTTCTACAACTCTTTATCCACCGGGTCCAGTCTACCGGTACCAGGCGGCTGCTGCCAATGCTGAGCCATAGGGACCCGAGGCCTCTTGCACCAAACTACCTAGCTAGGTAAAATCGAAAAACCGGTTTCAGAATAAGCTAATCTAACGGTGGTAAATTTGTTTGCAATAGCCCAATACATAATCCTACATGTGCTTGCTAAATTTTGCACATTAATTGTTACATTTGAGACTCGGACTGGGCATACGATGCAAAATAATCCGAGCATTGGTGCAAGAGGATTTTGGTGCAAGAGGCCTCCGGTGGATAAAGAGTTGTGGAACATCAATCTGCCCCCGAGTGTACCACCGGGGCTCGGCGGCTCGGCACACGCAGCAGATGTCGGCCCGCTCAACGACACCGCGAAAGTTTGTCAGTGTGGCTCTCCACAGTTCAAAAATCGGGGTTTACACTGATAAGTTGCAATAGGGACTCCGGGGCGGTGAAGCGAAGTTTAGGTTTTCTAGAGCACATCGAGTTGCTACATGCATCAACCTTGATGTGCCATCAAGCTCGCTCATGTAGCCAGCAGTAACAGACAGGCCCAACCAGGGGAGTGGGCTTCCTAAAGCGCGGAAGTCGCGAATGGGCGAGAACCTAGTATGCGACACTTTATCACAACGCACATCAGCGCAAAATGGGAAGTTCAGGTCTCTTTGGTCGAGGTAAAACCTAGCATGTAGCAACTTGTCACATGCTGTGTTTTTCTTTGCCAAACCGAAGACGCCACTGGACTTGCTATATTCTACCCCTTTAATATCTCAGTTTTGGAGAAAGTTATGAAAAAAGCGATACCAGAAACGAATCCGCCGTTCCCGAAAACCCCCGTTAGCATCTCTAACTCATTTTTGTTTACATTGGCGCTTACTATGTTTTTCCTTGACACGGTAGGAGTGTGACTGGGCGTTTTTCGTGTGCGGCGCGGCGGCCGGCCGGTCGGCGGTCTCACTGCTGCTGCTATCGCGGTGACTGGCGCACGTGGTGTGTGAGGAGTAGGAGTAGCAGCAGTCCCAGCAGAGACGGAACAACGAAAGGTAAGCATTAAACCTCTCTGCCACAGCATAGTGACAGACTCAACACAGTTCGCTGTTATGCTATTCGCTTATGTGCTAGATCAGTGGCGTAGCCAGAAATCAGCGAAAGGGGGGGGGGGCATGGTGCTCGAGGGGGCGACTTTTTCCCTTGAAAGGGGCGCCATTGTGAGCTAGTGACAGGGGGTCAGTCTAAAATGTAACGTCATATATTCATGCATGATTTACTAGGTGTTACTACGGAACCGGCACGAGTATCAGAACCAGGTTTCGCTGATTTTTCATAAAATCCAATTAATGCAATTTGCAGCCCAGTGTTTTTATCAAAAGCCTTTATCTTTATGCATATTTATTTAGCACGATATAGGAAACGAGCTCAGGCTACGGACATGTTATTCTCAAAATACACACCCATTCGAATTCGAAACGGTAAAATATGCGTTGATCGCTAGGCACAATCTTTATTCTTTGCAAAAAAAAAAAAAAAAACATACAGGTTCACTCACTGAAGCAAAGTGACCTGTGGACTGTAGCCTCTGGTCGACCGGGTGGCCGTGCTTAGAATCTCAGACACTCATGACTGCATGAGTGCCAGATGGGTGAGGCGTGAGACTGTCCCATATAGTGGCACGAAGGTTAAGAATGTCTTCGGCCGGTGTAGTATAGAAGACGACTTTTGATGATGTGAGTGTGCATGGTCGACTTTGAATAAGTGCCATAGAAACCTGCTGATCTTACCGAACATTCGCCTTGTGTAATCCCCAGACCAAATATATTCATTGAGGGCCAGGTCAATTTTGCGACCTCTCTATAAGTACCTATAAGTTACCGATTACCGTAAAGTGGGGCTATTTGAAACGGATTTTACAGTTTTTGGCCTCTCCCTTTAAGACGGTTCATATTTCTTATAGCATGTAAATGGCAAAAATGTAGTTCTCTGTGAGCTCTTTCATATAGGTGCATTTTGGTTCAGCTAGTAATAATGATTAAGGTTATTTTTTATGTTAAAGCCTGTTTCAAATAGCCCCATAGGGTGGGGCTATTTGAGACAGTTTTAGTTGCAAAGAAATTAGAGAAAATCGGTCACGCTAGAGATAATTTTTTAAACGCCATGCATTTGGAAATTGAATTTTGATCATTTTGGCAAAAATTATTTTTTCAAAGACTGTTATATGACCTAAATATTCAATATTTTCCTTTTTCGTAGGACACTTCATTTCGGTCTGGTATAAAATTGCATCACTATATGCTAAGGCTATCATAATATGATGTGACCCATAGCTTTCAAAATGACAGGATGATCATCAAGGACTATTTTAAAGTCATCGACAGTAAAATTTTGAAAGTAAGTTTTTGTATATAGCCCCGGTGACGTGAAAACAGATATACCGAAAGTCGGTGGGGCTATTTGAGACAGTCTCGCTACCTTATGAAGCACACTGTAATGAATCAAACAAGGCAAAAGGTTTCCGAAAACATTTGAGTGAATGGTCTGCATGATTGTTTGTTCCATTGTACATATCCATGCGAAGAAATAACAGAAAAATGTTAAACGGTTTTGATTTTATGCCAATTTTCCTCGATCGCTGCATGCTGTATCAATTGGCCGGTTACCCTACCACATCAAGTACTTGGATACGCTCACCTAACACCTAACAGTACGTTCATGTGTTAAGTAACATTCAATGGTGTTTTTTGGTCAACAAAGGTAGACATATGTTGATTGTCGACTGAATCAGTGACTGTTGAAGCACATTTTAAGCACATATTCATCAGAATAACTAGTTTGGTCACCAGCTAAAGGGTTATTATGTTACACTACGAACATGTAAATATTGCTTGCTGCTTGAAGTACCTACCATGAACCCACTGCACGTTTATGACCACGACCGATTCACCGGTGATGCTTATGTCGAACGTTCGATGCACTTCAGGTAGATGGCGGTAAGTCTTCTCGGGTGCATCGCATCGCCGTTATCATCAGCTATTTGGCATATCCGTTGAGGTTTGACCAGGTGGGCATCATCGGGATTCTGAGACAATGGGTTACGCAATCGGCAGTACCGTTAACAATATATAATATTTTCATGAAAAATGTGCTTAGCCTATAACCAAAAAGGTAGTAACGATGGATACAGTGACGAAGCTATTAAAACTTCAACTTTTTAAGCTGCAGGTAGGGGTCCTTTTCGAGCAACTTAAATTGTGCGTTTTTCTGTATTTCGTATTTTATTGCAAATTTCGTTCAGAACTTTTCGAAATTTTCAAAAAGGTTATTCAGAGCATTCACTGTTCAATTCCACATTAGTCTAAGCAAAAATGACGAAAAAACATCAAACGGTTTTCATTTTACAGCGATTTTACTCAACCATTACCTTACTGTCTCAAATAGCCCCACTGTCTCAAATAGCCCCACTTTACGGTACCTATAAGTTAACCCGCGCCGTGCTGGTGGCCTGTGCTTTCCGTGTCGTGCTGGGGGGGAGGGGGGGTGTTTTCACGTCCCCCCTCTAACTCGGCTCCTGGGCCACGTAGCGACACGCGGTAAGGGGAAATCGAAAGAGCGTCAAAAATAATGACGGAAAGACTTCGCATCAATTTTTAGGTCCGGTCAAAGGTCAGGTCACCAGAGGTCATCAAAGGTAAAATTTAGTCCATTTCAACAATTTTGGAAACTGCCAACGGCTAACTCGGGAACCAATAGAGCTACAGCGCCGCGGAAAAGCGCATTCGATAGCCCTTTTACAGGCTTTTCTGAATATTGCTCTCGGATTTGATCTCAGGTCAATGGTTTAGCCTCCAGAGGGCAAAAATTCCAAAAATAACAGTTTTTATGAAAAGCGTTTGTCTGCAATAACATTTGGTTCAAGACAGTGATGATATTTATTTTGCCTGCCTCGTGTTCCTCTCGTCGAGACGCTTCGAATGAACTATACGTTGACCTTGAAAGGTTATTTTAAAAATTTGACCGCAGGTCAAGGTCATGACCTGACCGGAAAGGGTCATTCTGCAGATCAGTCGATCCGTATAGTCTAGCTGACAACATCTGACGTGTTTTCACCGCTCTAGCACGTCTCTATCAAAAGTTGAAGCCAAAAAACCGTTTATGGTGATAAAATAGGTGACCGTTTATGACCTGAGATGACCTCAAGGGCACATAAAAGGACACAGGTGCATTGTTACGATTCAGTGTGTAATGTTTACCTATGAACCGATGTTTAAGGGGGTTTTAAACGACACTCGTCCAAAAGAGGCGCATTTCACTTTTCTCCCACTGACTTGAGGTCCCAAAATTGACCTGACCTTAGGTCACATAAATAAAAAGTCCGAGATGAACATGTTACGCATATTGTTAGTCTTATCTGAAAGTTTCAAAAGTGATCGTTCAGTCGGTGTAGCTATAGCGGGTCTTTTAACTTTTTTTGAGGCAAGGTCACTTGACGTGCCCTAGTGACCTGACCTTGAACGACCCTCATCTGAAATTTAACAAGCTGTGTAGAAAAGATGTATGAACAGGTGTAGTACCAAAGACAGCGCAGGCGCTGCGCGACGTCGTTTTCGAGATATTCGCGAGAAAAAACCTAAGGGGGGCGTAACCCCCACCCCCTTCCAGCACGGCGCGGATTAATGGGAGACAATTAAAATGCTCTTCTTCTGAACGAAAACAACCTCAACCATCGGGATGCAGGTTAATATGACACATTTAATCTGTAAAAGTCACTCGTGATGTGACCATTTTTATGTTACTGAGGTCATCTCAGGTCATGAAAGGTCTCCAGTAGATTTTGGACAATAACTTTTGATAGAGGTATGGTAGAGCAATGAAACACCCTATATAATTATTTTCCTTCTCGAAAATATGGATCGACTAATATGCAATATGACCTTTACCGGTTAGGTTATGACCTCTTCCTTAGGTCAAATTCTCAAAGGCCCTTTTAATGTCAAATTCTAGTTCATTTGACTCGTCTGTCTCGAAAAGTGGAACACGATGCTGGTTGCAGGGTTGTATACGACTCAATCAATAGCAATCAATTCAATCACGACAAATTTGGGAAACCAATCAAATCAATCAAGTCACAGCAGTTTTCGGGAATTGATTCAATCGACTCAAACGCGACAATGAAAGGAATCAATCAACTCAATCAAACGACTCAAACCAAGACATACATTAGGTTTTTTGCCCCACCAACTTGGAAAAGTGTCCATAGCAGTCTGGTGTACCTACCTACCTACCTTCCTAGCACCTACCTACAGAAGAAACATGAAAATATTGTCATTTAAAATTATAAATTGCCATGCCATTCAAAGTTTCTATGTAATAAGGAAGGATACCTAGTGATGGACAGGTGGATCATGATATTGAGGTTCAATGGGTAGAATTGGAGCAGAAATTTCATTTAATGGGTGCAAAATAACCCAGTAGTTGACTCGCCCCTTAACTTAAATCACCACCTTTCACCTAAAAGTTGTCAGTTTAATTTTGGCCATATTCCAACTCCATTTACACTAAATATCAGATATTGCAGTTGAAAGTTGGCTGCTCGGATTTTGGCAGTGTTCGTGATTTGGCCATTTACCCTACACCATGTCTATTTTAATGGATAATATGCATCAATAACATATTAACCATGGGGAAATAGAAATAAATATCTTACCTGCATCATGCATGTGACGGTTTCGGTTAGACAGAGACTGACGGGCAGCCTGAAAAATATTTCCACACAATGTGCATTTGAGACGTGGGATGTTGTCAGATTGGGAAGGAAGAGATTTGAAGTATTTAGCGGTCCACGACTCTGGACGTGGCATGTCAATGTTAGGTACCTGTGTGAAGAATTCAAAACATTTTATTGCAATACAATTTGAAACTGTTAGGACTGGGGGATAGGGATGAGGATCAAAAATATATTTAAAAGGAAATGGAGAGGACAGGGACTCTGGAACCACAGGATAAGTTAAGAATAAAAAAAATGAAAATAAGAAACAATAATAACGTTTTGCCAATAAGTATGCTAAGCTTTTATAAATCCTTATTCTACATCTTTTGATATTTTGGTAAGATGGCGTCATTGATTATCATGTAGTACGGTAGATGATCATAAAATAAATCGGTTGTACAACACCAATTTCGTTTTAATTATTATTTTATTTGAAATAAAACCAGTTTATAATATTCGGTAAAATATTTTAAGGAAAATGAAATATATTAAATATGTTATGCTTAGGCTCTCAAGAGAAAAGGATCAACAAACGTTCTGCTGCAAATTAAACAATGCAGCAAATTAGCTATTAATTAGGTACGCAAACGTAATTAGCGAGACGAAAACGGCGCTTTTGTTTCAGTTATTTTTGTAGGGGTTTCAGATATTTTATAGAGTTCAGTGGGTTGTTTCTGAGGAGATGTGGAGATGTGAATTATTAGTTAATCACACTTTATTAGTATATAGGGCCTTGCACTTTATCATCTGGGTTAAAAAAAAACGTTTCCTGCTGAGTGCTGAAAGGTAGGTAGGTGCATCGCCAGGTTCTATCACCAGGATTGGAGCAGTTATTGCAGTTGAAAGTCAAAGTTGGCTGTTCATGTTTAGGCCCTGTTCTTTATTTGGCCATCTACCCCATATTGCAGTTGTGATGACAAGCAGTTTTCAGTGTAGTTTTGTGATCTTTGATGTCATCAATTGGTGTCATTATTTTTCGTCAACTAAAACTTATTTGAACTTTCCATTCAATCGACTCAATCATACGAGTCACTCTAATTTTCGGGAATCAAATCAGTCAACCAGTCGCTAAAGTCAAACGAGTCAGTCAACCAGTCATCTCGAAAAGTCAATCGACTCAATCCAATCAACTCAAAATACGCGTTGAATCAAATCAATCAATTCAATCGACTTGATTGGTATACAACCCTGGCTGGTTGAACTAATCTCGTGCAGGTCTGAGCCAAAAGGTATTACAGATAAACGTCCTCCGCGAAAACGTATATTTTGAGGCTAAAACGTTTACCGTAGGTCAAATCTGAGATAATAAGAGAGAGCATAAAAAGAGCTATCGAATATGCGCTTTGCTGCGGCGCTGTAGCTCAATCTCTTTCTGAATCCTGACTTATGCGCCGCTTTGTCGAAAAATGTCAACATCGGCGAAATTTGATTTTCGGTTGTCGCTGGTGACCTGACCTTCGACCGGTTCGACCCAACCATAAAATGATCTTAATAGTTTTGTAATAGTTTTTGACGCTCTTTCGAACGCCGCCTACTGCGTGTCTCGACGTGGCCGACAAGCTGAGTTAGAAGTGGGTGTTCAAACACCCCCAGCAGGTTCAATAAAAAAACGCTTACGCTGGGGGCGGCACCGCACTGCTGGGCGCTGTCGGCATCGCAATAATGGGCGGCAGAGCGCTGAGGGGCGCCACTTGCATTGAGGGGTGGCATTGTACGGTGAAGGGGCAGCGTCGCGTTGAGGGGCGGTATCGCAACGAGGGGGGCACTTACAAGGCTGCCTAATAAGGAACGCTTGGCACATCCAAGCCCAGCTCGGCGCCGCCTAGCTGCTGCATCTTGAAAAAGGGCCCTTAGTGTCGATGAGAAAGCCCCATTGTCAAATAATTGCCTAGCGTCAGTGGTTTCGGGGGGGGGGGGGGGGCGCTATCAATCTTGAATGGGGCGGGGCGACCGAAGAATCCATTCAGTTTCGCGTCAGTGACTACTGGAGGGCGTCTGAACGACCTCGGATAGGGCGAATGTGATCTTCAGAAGGGCACCGGGTGCTCTAGAGGAGTGCAATGCTTGGATGGGGTCACTGCTGCCTTCAGTAGGGCGTCGAACGCTCTGGAGGGGCGCCATTGATCTCGGATGGTCCGACTGGGATTTTCAGAGGAGCATCAGTGGTTTCAGAGGGGCGCCATTGACCAAGGATGGGCCGACTGAAGCCCCGGTTCAGGTGGGAGCCAGTGGCTCTTGAGGGGCGCCAGCGACCTCGGATTGATGGGGCGACTGTGATCTTTAGAACGGCGTTGAGGGGCGCCATTGGGCATGGATGGGGCCACTGTTGCCTTCAGCAGGGCGCCGCAGGGAGGCTCTGGAGGGGCCTGAGCTTGGGTGGGCCGACTGTAGTCTCCAGGGGCGTTGTCTCGGATGGGGTGAATGTGATTTTCAGAGGGGTGCCGGGTAGTCTAGAAGGGCGCCATTGGTTTCAGAGGGCTGTCATCGATCTTAAGATGGGGCAGCTGTAACCTTCGTTTAGATGGGCGTGATCTTCAGAAGCGCGCTGGACGCTCTGAAGGGGCGTCATTGGGCTTGAATGGGGCGACTTTAGTCTCAATCGGAACGACTTCAGTCTCAAGGGGGGGGGCTAGTGGTTCTTGAGGGCGCTATTGATCTCGGATAGGGCGACTGTGATCTTGAGAAGAATGTGGGTGCTTTAGAGGGGCGCCAGTGGTTTCAGGGATCGATCTTGGATGGGTCGATTGGGGCAGCTGTGAACTTCAGAAGGGCGCCGGGTGCTCTAGAGGGGCGCCATCAAGCTTTAATGGGGCGACTGTTCCGTTTAGGTGGGTGCCAGCGGCTCTTCAGGGGCGCCATCGACCCTGGGGGTTCGGAATATTCTGGTTTCCGGAGGGGCGCCCTTGAACATTTGGGGGCTCAGGTCGTATTTGGGGGTACCCTGGAGATTATTTAGGTGTCCAGGCACCCCAAAGAGATATTGAGTTCGATCCCTGCCTGCACATCACTTTTTAATTCATGTTCTCTCTGTAAAACGGCATCAGCCTAGTCGGCGCTAATTGGGGCGCCATTTGGGCGGCTGGGCGGAAAGGGGGGGCCATGGCCCCCATGCCCCCCCCCCTGTCTACGCCACTGTGCTAGATTCTTTACTCGTACAGTAGGTACCTACTTCCCACCAAACTGTTGCGTAACTGTAAATACTTAGTAACCGCAAAACTATGGGATGGAATGTAGATACAAAAGGGTAGAAAACAGCAGCTGAGCTGTTTCAAAGCAAGTACTTTCTAATTCCTTAAATTTTATTTAGATGCAACGTTCACTCCAAGAATCCGTTATTCATAGTTTAAAGTTTGAACTGAAAGGCACCCTACCTGTAACGTCATCGGTTGCACCGAGGTCACTGAAATTGGATCACACTGTAGTTCCCCGGTAGGGCTATCGAACGCCGTTTCAATTTTGAAAATCGGTCGGTAATCTTCTAAGATCTCCGGGGGTGGGAATCGAACTCCCTCCCCCCCCCATTACGGCTGACCGGGTCCTGGCATACGGCGCGGGAAAATATAGGCGTGTCATTGAACAGTTGAAGTTCCCAAACGAAGCGGAGGTGTGACATATGACGGCCATCTCTGCTCGTGTCCACAGCCATGGACGTCTCGCTGTCCGGGAAGCGCGTGCTGGTGACGGGCGCCGGCCGCGGGATCGGCAGGGCTCTGGCGATCCGCGCCGCCGCCTGCGGAGCGCACGTGATCGCCGTCTCGCGCACCCAGCAGCACCTGGACACGTTGAAGGCCGAGTGTCCCTCGGTGGAGACGGTGACCTGCGACCTCGGCGACTGGGAGGCGACGCGTAAGGCGCTCGAGCCTCTGGAGCCGGTCGACTGTCTGGTTAACAACGCCGGCATTGTGAAGCACGCGCCGTTCATGGAGATCACAGAGTCGCAGATCGACCAGACGTTCGGCGTCAACCTGAAGGCGGTTATCAACGTGTCGCAGGTGGTGGGCCGCGGCATGGCCGAGCGCGGCAAGGGCGGCGTCATCGTCAACGTCTCGTCGATTCTGTCGACAATGGTGAAGGGGACGGCGGTGTACTGCGCCTCTAAGGCGGCGCTGGACCACCTATCGCGCGTCATGGCGCTCGAGCTGGGACCCAAGGGGATCCGGGTCAACACCGTCAACCCGGGCGTGGTCAGGACGGACATGACGGAGAGGATGTGGCAGGACCCGGAGAGGGCGGCCGCCCTGCAGAAGGCCGTACCGCTGGGCCGCTTCGCCGAGACTGAGGACGTGGTTGGACCGATCCTGTTTCTGCTCAGCGACAGCTCCTCGCTCGTCAGCGGCGCGTCTCTGCTGATCCACGGCGGCAGCGCCAGCGCCTGAGTGGACTGCACGGCGTCTCTGCTGCTCCAGTGGCGTCTCTGCTGATCTAGTGGCGTCTCTGAACATCCAGTGGCGTCTCCGCTGATCCAGCGGGGGTGGCACACTCGTCTGAACCAATCCACTGCAGTCTGAGATGATCCGTGATGTCGTCTGAGATGGTCTGCGGTGGTCGGAGATGGTCCGTGATGTCGCCTGAGCCAGCATATCCGTAACGCCAGCCTAGTGTCGGAGTGCCGAGCTGCTAAACTGTCATATGCGCCATATGTGGTGCTGTGTGAATTAATTAACTACATGTGACCACTCAATGCATAGAGCGCGTGTCAATTATATGGATGCATATTAGGCACATGGAATGAGATTATGATCAGATTTTAACCCTCGCATGTGTAGGGGGGGGGGTCGGATGGACCCCCCCCATGGTTTTTCGCGAATAACTCGCGTAAAAAGCGGCCGATCGCGACGAAACTTTCAGTACCCTCGCATTGATCAATTTTACACCTACCCTGAAAATTTCATGACCCTGACCCAAATGACCTTTGACCTGTGACCTCTTTTCCGAGACCATGTTTGGCCGGAATCGCGATTTCGCGTATGTCGGCTCGCACTAGCCGCGTGTTTGCAAGCTTCTCGTGGTTTCAAACGTTCAAACATGTGATTTGATGTTACTCCCGTGTGTGTCAAGGTCACCTGAAGGTCAGGTCAGGTCATTGACCTTTGGTGACCTCGGGTGACCTCGGGTCACTTTTTCGAGTTTTACATGTTTCTAGGCTAGTTTTTGGAGCTGAATTCGAATTTAGCAACCATTTGAACATTTACGAAGTAGTTTTGGTGACTTCGTAACATGTTACGAAGCTGTCAGAGGCGGTTGACACGTACTACGAATACCCGTCACGACGCCTACTGGTTGACCTGACCTGACCTGACCCGACCTGGTCTAAATGCTTCAAGACATCATCTGTGATCAAAACTAACACGATATTCGTGATCAGCACCCCGAAAAACCCCTTAGCAGCCACACTTTACGACTTTCTAACAGGTCCCGATTTTCCCGACTTTGGGTCATTGACCTGACCTGGAAGGTCAACCAATGACCTAGGACCTTAAAATTGGGTATCATCGGCTTCCTCTCGTCACGGGCAACACGCTCGTTTTTTCCGCGAAGCTCTAGCTCGATCAGGGGCCAAACGGCAAGGGGGGGGGTCCAACCGACCCCCCCCTACACATTAGAAGCTGGCAAACGCCGCACACATGCGAGGGTTAAGATGACCTTGGAATTCCATGATCACTGTGTGAAATGATGATTAACCATCGGAAGCCGCGGGAGTAGTATACCGTGGCATCATATGTTTGCTGCTTGGTTGCACCGCTGTAATACAATGCGCCTCCGCCTGCAACATTGCCGAGCTTTGGACCGGAAAGTCCTGGCTGGCATGACTTATAGGTTGTTCATCTCATGCAACCGGGAAGCACACCGGTATCGCTGACCTCTGGGACCACCAGCGCACGGATATTGGATTTGCAATGCTCTGCAGGCACATTGCAGAGAAAATCGCTGAGCTAAGAGCACGAACAAATGGGCGGCAACATTTTTCACTGATGGCTGTGTAGTTTATCTAAAATGCATGATAGCCAAGCTCTCTGGAATTCAGCTATACCCATGGCGCAACATTACCAACAGTGTAACGTATACGATATCATTTATCATTGCGATCCCTTCCGCACCACGATCTGCTGCATTAAACAGCGGCGGGGGGAGGGGGGCATCGCCGGTGCTGTACCGACTTCCCGGCAGCGGCTGAGCAGTTCACGATCGATAACACCTACACGGCAATGCAATAACTGTGCCATCAGTCATCGGCGCCGGCGCTGCGCCAATTGTGCCGGACGTGTAACAGCGCCGCCCTGAGAGCGCCGTCATATGGAATTGCCCCTTCTGTCGGCCGGCTGACACGTCCATTCAACCTCTCCCGGCCGTGTGCTGCCCAACAACGAAACGCTCGTCAAATCTGAAAGGCGCGAGCCGTCCCACAGGTCATAAGCTGTCACCGCAGAGACAGTGCAAACGCTTTGCCAGAGCTGGCAAAGCGTCTGGTATTTTACCAACTTTGGGAAAATACCACACCGACTTAGCTCTTAAGACTTTGCTTCTTAATGATTCCGCTGGTTGTGATTAACGTTGGAACAGTGGAACTCCCAGTGGAATCCCCCCCCCCCCCCATTGGCCTGTCCCTCCGCCTCCCTCTTGTCCCTACTGACCTGTCCCTCCCTCCGTCTCTGTCCCGTCCTTCCGACCCGCCCCCTCCGCCTGCTCTCCGCTGACCCGCCCCCTCCTCCTGCTCTCCGCTGACCTGTCCCTCCCTCCGTCTACCCCCTCCGCCCAGGTGACGGCCAGTAACGCCAGCACCGTGCTTCTGCGACACATGCGGCCTGAGTCGTCCGGAGTGTACCGGTGTGAGATCTCCACGGAGGCGCCGCTCTTCAACACGGTCACACGGCACGGAATGCTGCAGGTCGTCAGTGAGTACCGGGCCGCACGGGGTGCTGCAGTTAGTACCGGGCGGCACGGGATGCTGCAGGTCTTCAGTAAGTACCGGGAGGGGAAGGATGCTGCAGTTAGTACCGGACGGCACGGAATGCTGCAGGTCGTCAGTGAGTACCGGGCGGCACGGGCTGCTGCAGGTCGTCAGTTAGTACCGGGCGGCACGGGATGCTGCAGGTCGTCTGTGAGCACCGGGCGACACAGGTCGTCAGTTAGTACCGGGCGGCACGGGCTGCTGCAGGTCGTCAGTGGGTGCCAGAGAGGGAGATGGGGAGGGGGTCACTGTTGCCGCCGTTGATTGCTATCCTGTTGCCGCGTTTATCGGTGCTATCTGTGGTGAAGACTTGTGAGAGTGTGCATACAAAGGTAACTTCGCCACTGCCGACGGTAACTACATACAATGCAGACGGCTGCGGTAATTACCTGTGTCAATAGATGCGCCGAGTCGTGTATCAAACTTTAAAGTAAAAGGAAGCATTGAACTTGTTGAGATGGTGCCAGCAACTGAAAGTTGTTCATCTGTATCGTTTATTTACTTTGTCGTGTAAGCGGTTCCTCCAATGTTGGAAGTAAAATGAGTATAGAAAGAGTTATACACTTATTGAAAGTATTTATGCACTCACAACTGCATTCTAAATTTACACTTCAATAAAACACCAACAAAGACCATACTTTGAACAAAACGGCTCTCGTTATTTCCGCATTATCAAAGGCAGTAACTTGTCTATGGGACATTGACAGAATTTACTGTCGGCGAAAATTGTCACACCCTTCGCCATAAATACGGCCGAAATTACCATGCCGGCCGCTCTGAGTGGTGTATACGGACAGACGTGGTCAGTGGCGTGGCTGAACACCAAATTTACAGCCGCTCCGGCTAGCCTGCTGAGGACAGCGGCTGTCCACGTCCGAACTAGGCCTGTGTTATAGGCGTTCACTCGACCGCACAGTTTATTGTCCTGATACAACCGGCTTAGGAGAGTAGGAAATTTTTACTTTTCTGGTAGCTCCTCGAAATGTAAACATATACTTTTTTAGATCAGACTGGAGGCTGCATTTAGAATAAAAAGGCCATCACGCCAGCCATTGTGTGACATTCAAAACCAGGCGTAATGTTCTTTGTACTGCCTTACTAAAGACCATTTCCTCAAGTTCCTTAAAACCCTCGCACCGACGGGGGGGCGGATATCCGCCCCCCCCCTGAGGTTTTTCGCGAATAGCGGGAAAACCGCGGCGCGTAGCGCCGCGAAATTTGGTATGACTATAACCTCATCAATTTTACACATGGTGTGCAAGTTTGAACCTCCTACCTTTTAAGGTCAGGTCACCAGGTCACTTTGAATGACCCAACCTCAAGTCACTTTTTTGCAACTTTGTCACCGTGCCAGAGCTACAGTAGATGTCGGAGGCCTTTGAAAGTCGCAGGATATTATAAGGTCATTAGTAGCTACAATTTGTATATCTCGGAATTTTGATATCGGTGACCTAAGGTCAGGTCAATTTCGCGACCTCCCCATTATAAGTCAATGGGGAAAAAATCAACTCCCTGTTTTTACCACTAAAACGGGTCGGAATGGCCCCATATACCATACATGACTTCATATACGATCAACCTTCACTAACTTGAGGTCTGTTTTGCTGTTGGGCAGCTGTGAGGTCATGTGACGTCATCAAAGGTCACCAAAGGTTTTTGGCCAATAACTCCGTACAGGAACAAGATACAGTCGCGTGGATGGTCTCATTGTGTTCAGCTCGTCAAGACGCATCGAATGATAGGTATACATGATGACCTCGAGGTCACGTGACCTGAGGTCAACCTTTGACCTTGACCTTTCGAGGTCAACATATATCATTCGATGCGGATTGACGAGAGTATCACGATGATGCCCTTAGTTTGTTCCTGTCTTGACTAATTCGAAAGTTATTCGAGAAAAACTCTCTCCATATCTAGCGCCGCCATTTTGACTTTTTCGACCCCTGTGACGTCATCTTTGACCTGACCTGAAAATGACCTTTGTAAAAATTGTAGATCTTGGCCGTGCGTATCCGATGCCGTTTACCGCTTGTCGCTATCTTGCTTCGTTCTCGAGATCTCAGGGGGGGGGGGCGGTCATCCGCCCCCCCCCCCCCGTCGGTGCGAAGTTGGCGCAGACCCCCGTCGGTGCGCGGGTTAACTGACAAGAGTCCTCAGTGTATCATGCATTTTCCACATTACAGCGCATATAATAAGCACATATTCTGATGGAAGCAGACACGCAGGCCGCCATCAGTCTCCATGGATGACCATAAAACCCTTCATATCATGAGAGACCCGGTCATCTTCCTACATTAGCCATTCGGGCGACCATCACCTGCGTGGCGGACCATGACCCGGCGCGGCCCACGCGGCGATCAATGGCGCACAGGCGGCCGTCGAGACGCACTGGCGCGCCGCGGAGACGAGCCAGGGGACTGGCGGAGACGGGAAGGACGCGGGACGGCAAGCCGACACAGCGCGACGTGACGCTGCCCTAGTGCCCTGACCGGCTGACGTGGCGCGGCGCTACACTTAGCCCTAACTGAGCGACACGGGGACACGGCGCCATGCTGCTCTAACTGGCCGACACGGCGCCGCACTGCCCTGTGTGACAGCGTGGCAGCGTCCCCTTACTAGGCGACACGGCTCGGAGTCAGACTGCCCTGACCGTCCAACGCGCCGCACTGCCCTGTTCCCCTACCAGGCGACACGGCTCGGAGTCAGACTGCCCTGGCCGTCCAACGCGGCGCGGCGCGACACTGGCCTGTCCGTCCGATACGGTCGGCGCACACCGTCCTAACCGACCGCCCTTTGTCCGTCTCCGTCGTCCGTATCGTTACTACTGCCCCCCCTCCTGCCCCCCGTCGGACAGTGGAGACGGCCGGCGCCCGGCGCCGTTTTCAGATGAACCAACTTGGGAGTGAGCGCCGTGCCGGTCGCCGCCGCCGGCAGAGGACCGAACCGAGCCTGATCGTCGCATCAACCGGCCACAAAGCGGGCCAACTTTGCCGATACGCCTTCGCGAAATCGCCCATAGTTGGTGTATTAATTTCCATAATTCCTGATGAGAACTTGTTAAAAGTTATGCAGATATGATTTGGGAACTTGGCAGGCATGTTAACGCTTGCGGCAGATAGCTGAGAGAGACCAAAAGCCCAGGATCCGACCGACGCTCCGGCGATGTGTTGTGTATGCCTGAATGCTGTTATTTCCTCGCGATCGCCTTCGAAGGCGATGCCTTGCAGCCAATTTCCCCCATATCGGGCAAATAGCCCGACTACTGCGCCTCCTACCCGATTCCCAGTGATATGCAGCGCCATAAATCCCGCTTGCTGGCCATACAGGCATAGGCGGCGCCATAATTCACCGTCACCGAGCCTGTGTTGACTGGTGTTCCTCCGCGGCCAGATCTGCCGACGCATGGTCCGATCATCAGCGGCGGCCAGGAGCGGTACCGGATTGGGGACGTGATCCAGCTCAACTGCACCTCCCCGGGCACCGTACCGCCGCCGCAGCTCACCTGGTACATCGAGGGAGAGCGGGTCAGTGACGTCACGCTTATCTTATATTTGTTTGTTGATAGGTCTACTACCTAAGTTCCGGAAAGTATGAACGTCACACCACTTCATACAGCTTGGTATATGTCTCCTGCGGCAAGGTAAGTCTGCGATCTTCCAAACAAAAATTATGGGTGGTGTCAGAAACTTCACATACTTGTGCTTGGCTCCTAAGATTTAGCCCAGTTAGACCTTAGTGGATCTCCCAGAAATCGTCAAGTCCTGACAATGTCAATTAGTCGTAGCTTAGCCATCCCGAAGTTTCAAGGAGAGTGACCACCATCTACGAGTCCCAGATTGACGAATTTGTATTCGGATATCGCACTCGGACAGTTGGCCTTTTGAACCTTGACCGTCGTTTCTTATCGTATTTCTCGCCGCTTGCCTCCCAAGCTGGGCCGTCCCTTATTCACAGGTCTCAGAGTGGACGCAGTTGATAGTCACTAATCCTTTTTTATTACATTTTTTAAGTTTATTGATTACACATTCACCATGTTAAAGGGACTATCCCACCTTTAACATGGGGTTTGAGTTGAGATAGCCAAGTTTGCGGCGAGGTTCAGAAACCACTATCTATCTAGGTTGCAACCCCCGCGGCCTCTTGGTGTTGAAGAAATTCGTTCCCTTCATTTGAAAATGGGCCTTGTGCAAGGCCCTATCTTCAACATGGAGCGACCGTTAGTGTGACGTCACCTCGTTTAGTCATTCTGATTGAAATGGGTTTGTTCGTTGAAAAATCGCTTAAGTTAAAACTTGGTCTGAACTTTGTTGTGGTGCCTACAGAGTAAAAAGAATCAGCTTTATGACAGTAATGTGGCCTGGGGAAGGAGGTAATTTTGGGCTGTGACGTCACATATTTGAAAGTTTGTGTTTGGAATATGGGACGCCTAAGATGTTTAATGAAAAATAAATACCAGAACCGTGTTCCTGGTCATCCGATCTATAAAGTCGGGCACAATTTAACTGGTTTTAACAACATATTAGAAGGTGGGATAGTCCCTTTAATAAGAGCAGGGCAGTGATAAAATGATAGCATGACGATTATTTTTGGACCCATCCGGCCAGACCGGGACGATGCTGTCAAGTTAGTGTCATCCCGGCCCCGGGAAGAGTTGGGGGACACCTCCCCGGCAAGACAGTCACTTATCACTTGTCAATGAATGCAGGAGATTTCTTAATTATTCACTGCCCAACCATCGGAGTCCTGACAATTGCCTTTGGAATCGACACCAATTCGATGCGAACAGACCAAACCCTGTGATTATTTTCTGTGGTCGCCCCGTGACGAAGGGCGCCATAACACTGCGCATTGCTGCCGCCTCGGTCCGGGGAGCCCTCGCTTTGTCCGGGCCCTCGCTCGTTCCTCGGCAGCTCTCGGCCGACTCTGCCCGCCCGGTGGTCTCCTCCACCGGCCAGCCACGTGAGCCGTCGTCCACCGATGATAGTCCCAACCGGACCACTCCCCTGGGCCCGGCCATAAAACGGTTATGGTCTAATGGAAACTAATGGCCGTTAAACATGGGCTCTCTGAAATCTGTCCAATGGCCATGCGTTGGACCGGGAAAGATGAACAGAACTGCTCTATTTCTCTGAACGTTAAAAAAGCCTTGCAGGTTCTTATACTTACACTGCTTTCTTAGGCTCTATTCTATTGTCAAGTATTCACAAGCTTTATTGAGAAATGCATTTGATGCGGCATTCGTTGACCAAGCACATACCTACTGTTACTAATTGAACAAGATTACAACAAAATGAAGATCTGTCTTACATGTAAAACGCGGTTTAAGTGACATGACCTCTTGGCGTTTTAACATATTCCACCGCAAGACTTTAAATTGGTGCTTGTGATTGTTACCATTACTTCCAGTCAGTTATGTTCCTATATAGCGAATAAAATACAATGTTGCCATCGCCTGGCCCCAGAAATAGCTGCTAAAGGACTTCAGGTCGACTGGTGATGGCCCTGGTGGCGCAGTCGGTTAAGGCGTCGACCCGCGGTGCGGGCGGTGCCGGATTCGGGTTCGATTCCCGGTTCCGCCCTTTCCGCGGGAACGCGGGCGTCGTCCCCGGCTGCGTCACCAAGTGTGGCGTAGACTCCCACTTCAGCCGTAGCCTGGGGGGGGGGGTGGGGTACAGTGGCCGGGAGGAGATGGAGCCCTCCTATAATTGGGAGATACAAGAGCCCGTTGGAGGGAGGCCTGAATAAATAAATAAAATAAAATAAAGGACTTCAGATCGACTGGTGACCGGAATCGTTCTGCTATAAATCGCAGCCTTTACACCATCTCCGAAAAGTACATAGCTGATGCCACCGAAAGGCCGTTGGCTGAAGTTAGCCTCGCACTTGACGTGTTATTACACATCACATCAGAACGGGGCATTGTTTTGAGGTTGTCGGGCCATCTTGCTGGCAAGACGCCGCCTAACAAAGACTAATTGGAACAGCTCCTCAGTGATATTAGCGCAACTTTGGTGATTAGATCGAGTTGCTGCGAGGTTTCGCTTTTGCCAGAACAACAGTCCAGGGTTATTGATGCATGGCGGTTCAAAGAAACTAAATGCTTGATTTATGCTGCCCAATCATGGCTATTAAACGATGACTTAGTAGTTTGGGCTCAATGTACCTACGGTTTGATCGTTTTGAAAAAAAAAGGTTTGAGCCGTTTGTCTGATACCGCACATTTTTCATAGATCATTTTAGTCATGCCATATGCGAAGTGCAGTGAAAAAAAAACATGACAGATTTCAGCCGTCTTCATTTTTCGTAAATCTTCCCCTCGCCGTGACAAAATATCACCAGAGAACCTCTGGTGCGATAGACTCTGCTCGCGCCCTGCCGCGGATCTGATTTGGGCACTCGTTTGACTTCTGAACCGACTCATTACCATGTCATGATTTATGACATCCCCGGGCCCGACAGGTCACGGCGGAAACGACGGCTCGTTTGTGGTCCGTGTCGACTTTATAGTCCTCGACAAATGATCAATGACGGCCTCCGGCGGTGACGGAAGACGACGGTTTCCAGGAATCGCATAAAACGCCGTGGCCAGGACCCGTGCGGTCAGAATGGGTCACGCGGCCGACGCTCGCCGTCACACCCTATACATAGCACTGAATTCCCCATACGCGCCCCACTCTGACTCATGATCAGTAATTACACAGCATCAATCTACCCTGGCCCTGCATCACCAAATTATTTGATGTAATTTTAAGCCACTCTGAGTTACCCCACTGTGATGTGAACACTAGCATCTCGTTTCACCCTCCACTGACCCTGTATCACCCCTCGCTGACCCCAACTCCGCACTAACCCTGCCTATTTGACCCGCAGGCGCACCCGGGCCTGGTGACAGAGTTCCCGCGGTCGGTCGGTCCCGGTGGTGTGGTGGTGGTCACCAAACAGCTGCGGCTGACGCTGCTCGACCGGCACCTGGCCGCCACAGGCAGACTCAAAATCAAGGTACTCACCCCGAAAAATCGACCGCTCGATTGTTCTGCTTGCGTAATATGAGAAAGGTAGTTTCCCAACCAATCTGCGAAAGTGCGTACAGAACAATGCTACTCACTGGTCCCGCTAACAGCAGCCGTATATTTGTTTCAGTGCACTGCCTCGCTGGAAAACATATACTGGAGGAGCCACGAGCGGCACGTGCACGAGCACGTGGAGGCTCGACCGGCACGTGTCACCGGTAGACATCTCCGCAGTAAGTCGCCCTCTGCGCGCAGCCTTCGGGTAACAGTTCATATCCCACACGGGAGATCCTTACTAATCTTACCCAGAGCGCTGACTAACACTACAGCATACTGGGCACGCGTCACCTTGAGGCGCAATGTGTCCCGAGTGCATTAGGCCGGACATGCACGTACCGACATCAGAACCACTGAGAGGCGTGCAGTGGCTCAGGGCAGTAGTATCTCAACGGCTCAAAGCGGCAGTATCTCAGCGGGCGCAAAACAGGCAGTAGATGCCTCATGGCGGAGAACAGCATGAATTATCTCAGCGGCTCAGAACGGCAGTATCTTCCGGCTCAGAGCGGTAGTACCTCCTGGCTCAGAGCGTCAGCATCTCCTGGCTCAGGGCGGCGGTATCTTAGCGGCTCAGAGCGGCAGTATTTCAGCGGCTCAGAACTGCAGTGTTTCAGCGGCTCAGAGCGGCAGTATCTCCCGGCTCAGAGCGGCAGGACCACCTGGCTCAAAGCGGCAGCATCTCCTGACTCAGAACGGCAGTGTTTCCCGGGTTAGAGCGGCAGTATCTCCCGGCTCGGGGCGGCAGCATCTCCTAGCTCAGAGTAGCAATATCTCCTGGCTCAGAGCGGCAGTATCTTGGCGGCTCAGAGCGGGCAGCGGCAGCATCTCCCGGCTCAGAGCGGCAGTTTTTCAGCGCCTCAGAGCGGCAGCTTGCCTCCGCTGTTCATGGAGCGGCTGCCCAAGGCACGCGGTGCAATCTCGGAGGGAGCAGTGCGGCCAAATGGACCGACCCCCGCCGGGCCGGTGATGCCTGGGAGGGTCCATTGAGGACGGCGCCGCGGCAGATGGGCCCAGTGGGGTGCCGGTGTGCTGGAGACGGCCGGCCGACCAGTGCCGCCCGCACGACAGACCAGAACTGAGGTCATTAGGAGTTGAGCGCTACTCTGATGCACTTAGCGCAGAGCGTTCATGTGTGGAATGTCGCCATGGTTTGCGATTAACGTCGACGCATGGGATTGCGCTGGGCTTTAGGATGAAAATACCATCGGGCTTAATATCGTGACTACACTACTTTAACCCGAACATATCATGAACTTGAGGAACTGCGATAAACTCGGCTTGGACAAGGATAATATAATTTGGCTGAGCTTATAAGGAAACCAAACTACAGGCATTACCAACCCATGGATGAAATTAATGACAGTGCAAGGAGAAATAGCCCAGTCATGGCCAGCCCAAAACTACCTTTAATATTTATCGCTATAAGTTATGAGTACCGTTTTCTTTTTAACTGTTACGCACATTATTTACTGAAATGAACGTTTCAAGCAAGCGCCTTTTATCGCACCACTCGGCGATAATTGGCGGTATATAGATGCGCGAGTGGTGACGAACGATACTCTTCGCCGCATTGACAGATTAATTTTCTTGATGAGCGCATCAACGATCGCTAAAGCTCAGTTAGTCCCGCTGGTTAGTTATGAAGCAGAGATAAATCAAAGCCAAATTAGATCGATAGAATAACCGATGACGGCCAAGTAAGCATAAGAAACTATTGGCAATTTTGTTGATAATCGCACATGATTGATATGTACCCGCGTTTGTGCAGTAACTCCTGGAACAGCCTGTCACCAGCTCAGACTCTCTGGCTCGCCATTGTCACCACCCCTTTGTCTCCGCAGACGAGGGCGGCGCACTGAGTGTGTGGCAAAAGTGGCGCGTTGTGGCGGCCGCCAGCTCGCTGCTGCTTCACCAGTCAGTCTGGAGGTGACCGCCCGCTGACCGAGGATGTCCGGAGCGTTCCCCGCTGGAGGAACCAGGGCCAGACGACCGAGGGGGTCCAGAGGGCCCCCTCCTGCATGAGCCGGAACTAACTACCGATCGGTGAAATACTGACCAGCGATAAAGCGTCGGCAGAGAGCGAGCGCCCTGAAGGGAAGGCGAAATGAGAGTGAAAATGAGAACCCTGGAGAATAGAGCGAACACCCTGAAGGGCGGCGAACTGAGATTGAGAACTGAGAACCCTGGAGAAGAGAGCGAGCACCCTGAATGGCAGGGGAACTGAGAGTGCTCGTGCTGTGGGGCAGAAACTCCGTATTCCGGGTGAACAGGGAGTGAAAATCCTGTGGGGCGAGTGAGCTAGGAGCGAATGTACTGCATCGTGAATGACTCAGCCTTGTAAATACCGCTCATTTGTATGGTGCCGAGTGTGGTGTGGTCGCGTTGTCAGCCTGCGCTCTCGCACGGGTTCCGGACAAAAAGTCAAATGATAAAAGGTAAAAGGATGATTAATCAACAGACATTACGTCAAAAGCAAGAAGTCAAAAATCTTAAAAGTCAACAGGTAAAAGGTCAACAAAGAGGAAAGTCAAAAGGCAAAAGGTCAAAAAGGATAAAACGTCAAAAGATAAAAAGTGAAATTGCCAAAAAGTCAATGAACAAAAAGTCAACTAGTATAGAAGTCAAAAGACAAAAAGTCAAATGGACATAAGGTCAAAAGACAAAAAGTAAAAACGGCAAAAAGTCAAATTGCCAAAAAGTAAAAAGGACAAAAGTCGAAAGACAAAAAGTGAACAGGACATAAAGTCAAAATCCAAAAAACCAAAAGGACAGAAAGTCAAAAGGACAAAAAGTCAAAAACAACAAGTCAACCGGGTATGAAGTCAAAATAAAAAGTCAGAAGGTCAAAAAGTCAAAAAGACATATAGTCAACAAAGTCCAAAAAGTCAAAAGGACAAAAAATCAAAGGGACAAAAAGTCAAAAGGACAAAAAGTGAAGAGGACAAAGGTCAAAAGACGAAAAGTCAACAGGACATAAAGTCAAATTACGAAAAATCCAAAGGAAAAAAAGCCAAAATCCAAAAACTCAAAAGGACATGTCAAAGAGACAAAGTCAATGACACCGGGATCATCAGTCATTACATACATGAGATAACATTTACAAACAGCTGTACACAATTAAGCAGGATGCTGCACCATATAACCTGCATCATTGGACATTGAAGCAAGACTGCCTCCATTGCGCGACTGATGGGGATTCCCATGACCCGCAACCGCGACTCAGCTGGTCACACGGGCATGCTTGGCTGAAATCTGACACACATCCGTTGACACTTACGTGCTAGGTGGGAGCTCGCTCGCATCGTAAGATTGTCATGAGGCAGCGTTACATGATCCTTCGAGACAACTGGCTGTCCCAGGCGCAGTTTACCGGAATTATTTCAACAAATATAGTAACCCGGAATGTTATCGATACGAAAGGTTCGCTTGTTCAAATTTCCTATATTGTGTAGGGAGACGTTTCTCATCAATTGATTCCGTCACGGGTTCTATTAGCGATTTCACACTTTTATTATAGTTCAAGCGTATTGTATGGTACAATTGGTACAATAGTAAAGCGCGTCGTTTCTTTTAGATAGGTGGAAGTTGGAGCGAGAGGCAATTGTGTGATTGTCGGATTGTCCTGCCTTGAAAGGAACGCTCATATCAGCATCAACAGACAACAACCTGTTAATATTCACGGACTGCATACAATTAAGGTGACCAATTTTCATCGAAAAGTACGGACTGCATACAATTAAGGTGACCAATTTTCATCGAAATGTATAGGTCAACCCGCGCCCCACTGGAGTCTGCGTATAATACGCCCTACTGGGGGGGGGGGGGGGCTCTCCGTAGCCCCCCTCCTAACTCCGAAACTACTGGGCCGATCGTCAAAATTCAAACGGCGTCTGATAGCCCCGAAAAAACTGGCGAGCGAAACCTAATTTCATTGACCTCGAGGTCACCGATGACGTCACAGGTCAGGTCAAAAATAAAAATTATTAGCATTTTGACTTATTCACATTTTGGGCTCTGGCCGCCGTCTTACAAGTCAGATCAGGCTCATTTTTGGTTTACACACTCGTGAACAGATGCTCTAGATACCTTGAGGGTACCAAACTTGTACTTTGATTTTCAGGTCAGGGTCAGGTCATCACAGGTCACGGAAATATTATATCATGCTTCGGTCACGTGACACATGTTTTATGGTCCATTTAGGCCATAGATTTCGAATCTGATGTCGTCTGTTTCATTCGAGGTCATTTTGAGTCGAATTTAGCTTAGGTCAGGTCACTTTCAGGTCAAAAAAGGTCAAATTTTGAAGTTTAAATTTTTCAACAAAAAAGGTGTCTATTGGATGCAGTTTGGGCTCAGGAACACGATGGTGCTACATATTTATATCGGTGTACGATGTCAAATACGTACTGAAAAATTGATTTGAAAAATTAATAATAGTGAATGTTTTGCAATAATGTGTATAACTTGGCCATATTTGAAGATATTTAGCAAAAACTTGCTAGAGTTAGTCATAAGTATGCATTCTGTCACATATATTCCGTTTTTTTTTTGAAAACTCAAAAACTTTTTGAAAAATATAAAAATATAAATTTCGAATATTATTATAAAAAGATTTCGAAATTTTCAAAATTTTGAAAATCCGAGATAGCAGTTTGATAGCGCAGTCAATTCTAAGTCCTTTCATGCAAAGAAATGGATCTAGCTTAAAAACTGAGCTCTTGAAAGCGATTGCCGTGGTTCAATGTTTTGCGTCGAAATCGGCCGAACATGACGTCACTGACGTCATTTCCGGTCGACCTATGGTAGCTACGAAATTCAATTTTTGAAACAAGGTGTCAAATTGATGCAGCCGAAGGTACTGAAAGTTTGGCGTCGATACGTCAAGTGGTTTGGAAGTTATTGCAGAAAAACGGGAGGAGGGCTATGAATAGCCCCCCCCCCCCAGTGGGGCGCGGGTTAAGTTATCGAGATGCGATTGCTAAAAACACAATTTTTTTAGGGCCTCGGAGCTGTGACGTCCAAAGAGAGGTGACAAGTATAGCGCATTGTGGCCACCAGTTACTGTCCCTCTTCTTCATCTTCGCCTCCGCCCTACGTCTCCTTATCGGAACTGCCCCCCCCCCCCGCCACCAGCAGGCACAGTACGCCAACTTTATATAGATAAGTTCACATTCCCAATATACTTTTTAAAGCAAAGTAAAAATAGGTAGGAGCGTTCTTATCGGTAGTGTTGGGGCACGCACGGGGACGCGCTGAGACGCGCTATGCGGTGCAGCCGGCGCCCAGCGGGCGGCGGCCGGGGATCAGGTGGCCTGGCGCAGGTCAGTCGCCGACCGAAGACGCGGGCTGCGGCGTACTTGTACCGACTTAGTTAACGACTGCTGTTAAAGACTACTTTTTGCTGTTGACTACATTTTGCGCATCAACTTTTCGCGCACCTATTAACTATTTGCTTGTTGACTTTTTGTGTGTTGACTTTTAGCGTGTTGACTTTTAAGCATGTTGACTTTTAAGCATGTTGACTTTTAGCGTGTTGACTTTAAGCATGTTGACCTTTCGCGTGTTGACTTTAAGCGTGTTGACTTTTAGGCGTGTTGACTTTTAGGCGTGTTGACTTTTAGCGTCTTGACTTTTTGCGTGTTGACTTTTTGCGCGTTGACATTTTGCGTGTTGACTTTATGCGTGTTGACTTTTAGCGTGTTGACTTTTAGCGCGTTGACTTTTTGACATGTCGGCTTTTTGTCTCTTTGACATTATGTCTTTTGACTTCTTGCGTGTTGACTTTTAGCTTGTTGACTTCTGGCGTGTTGACTTTTTGGCAGGTTGACTTTTTGTTCATTTGACATTTTGTCCTTTGACTTCTTGCGATGTTGACTTTCTGTCTGTTGACTTAATGTCCTTTGACTTTTTATCCGTTTACTTTTAACGTTTTGACTTTTCATCCGGGAATCGTTTTTTACAGCTCAGAGCGACCACCTCTCGCACAGACCCAAGTGACTGGTATACAGTGGTCGCTCTGAGCTGTAAAAAACAGCCGAGTGTGATTGGCAGTATGAAAATCGCTTAGTCGTGCGCCGGCATCCCGCATTTTCGTATTTACCGACGCGCGTGGTGATGAGAGCTGCCTGTGTATGTACAGTTGGCGTTTGCCCGACTTTTATATGTAACCATGCTTACCCATCTGCTATGCATGATGCTGGATAACAAAATATAAATGCTTATAAGCTTCAGGTATGACTAGGCTAACGTTTCAGGTCAAAACTGCAATTGGAATATGCCCAGAAAAACAAGAACTACATGATTTATGCTTTATACCATGGTCTATCTGTTCCACCTTGTGCTGTATAGTAGGTATAGGCTAAGAGATTAATGTAACAAGAGCTAAGGTCAAGGTAGCTCGCAATATGCATTTGAAACTACATTTACCGTCTCTGTAATATGGAAAGTTAAAATAGGAATTCGGGATGAAAATAGGTAGGTATCATATATAAAATCATGTTAACATCTTTTTTTAAATATGAGATCTCTACCTACTATTGTATCATAGTGCATTTCGCTATCCTATTACTATCGTAAAAAAACAGCAAATCATATATACAAATTGAGTGCCGTATTGGACGAAATCTTAGCATCCATAATTCAGTTTTCTTGGCTTGGCGTTACGCAAGTTCCGAATAGGGGAGAGTGGGGCAAAGCGGCCACCCGGGGCAAAGCGGCCACCCATCGTTTTAGCCCTCCACAGCTGGCGTCAGTTCCAATTTATGATTTTCAATTATACTTCTCTTTGCGGTCGTTCGAATGAGCCAGACCGGGGTTTCAGGCCCATCGCCATTGTTCTGTGAAACACGGAAAAGCATTTCTTGCCAGGTTACCAATTATGTTTACAATTTTTAAATGTTATTTTATTCCATAACCGTTTGGAATTTTTATAAGCGTTTTTGTCCATGCATTGCGTGGTTATCGTACATGCCTTCTACCAATTTTAATGCTTTTTACCCCACTAATAGCTGAGCTGGAATATTTTTGTCTCGGACGGTATGCGCGGGGCAAAGCGGCCGGGGCAGAGTGGCCAGCCCCCAATTGGTCATAAGTTGTTTCCATCTGGATAAAAGCATTATTTATATTCAAATGTGTCGTCATCTATTCATCTTGGCCACTTTTCGGTTACATGAGTTACCAAATTATGCAATTAAATGTTTTTCCAAAAAAATTCTTTCTTTTTTTAGCAATAGGTGGGAAGATAACAAAGTAAACATCCATCTTCCCTTAAACCTTGTCATCATCAAATACCCTAGTCGTGCATGAGCGAACTATTCTGTTTCTCATATCGGGACTTGAGAAGTCGCCAGTGGCCGCTTTGCCTTAGGGATGGGGCAAAGTGGCCAATATGCTATAGGTTTAAAGTTTTGTCAATATCTCCCATATGTGAACGCCTTTGGAAATGAAACGCAGTTGGAATAAAAGACAATTTAATAGGGATCACATTGGTATAGAAAGAATCTTTCTAAGTTTTAAAATAAAGCGTCGGCATCGTTAGAAACGTTAGGGTGGCCGCTTTGCCCCACTCTCCCCTACATGGGAACCAGAATGATCCAAATAATGGTTGTCTTATATCTTGGCACACGTTTACTATTAATCGGTTCCATACTGTTGTCTTCTGGGCCACATTAGGCTCGGTCTTAGCGTACAACGGACGAGGACACACTATCGTGCATACGGCATCAAGTTAGGCTATATTTTAGACGTTAAGCATGTGTAAAATTGAAACGGCTTCCAGCAGACTGGCGATAAGACACATTTACCTTTTGTATTATGTTCTAAACTATTATGAAATGTGTTCTCAATACACGGTTTATAAGTTTAACATCGTGTGCTTCAAACAGTCCATAGTAGTTAAAGCTCCTTATTCAGATGGACACAGAAAAGTAGGATAGGTATCATAGATCGGTATGGATGTTTAAATGAATAATGTCATCGATACAAAATCAGCCAACTGTGGTCATTTTTTTTGTTAGCTTTTTATCTTGTTTAGAAGATAAAATGTTTTTATTTAGTGTAAAAGCGTTCGAATTATAGGCTTTGTTATTGGTGATTTGGTAAAATTTTTGTTAGTTTTGACTTTGATCAGTGACCAAACTGTCCTGATTGGACTCTGGCTCTGAGGCGCGGGGTCGCTGCGTGCTGAGCCGCTGCGTGGCCCGTCGCCCGGGGCGCTGGTCACGTGACCTCTCGCCCCAGCCGGGCTGTCGAGACTGGGCGGCCGCACTCGCGAGCATCATCAGTTAACAGTGAACCACTGGGCTTAGTGGGTTGGTGCTTAGGCTCTCGCTGAAGGTAAGCAAACCGGTGGACGTCAATCACCTTTATTTTTTTTCGTTTTGGTTGCTCATTTTTCAAGATAAAAACGAACGGCAACAGAAACATGGAGAGCATGGTCGTGGGCAACGCCGCCAAGTTGAAAAGGTAACTATACCTTGCTTTCGAGCATTTACGGCCGACGTTCAGTATCTGTTTCTCGGCGATATAATTTCCCTTCTGTGCTCTCTGCGAGCATATGTAAGTATTGCGCCGGCACTGAATCCCGTAAGCTCTGCTGGAGGTCACTATCTCTTTATTAGAGACGTGGAGAGCCGGAGCTAAGGCCAGCTCCTCCGTATAGTCTTGATCCTGACATCCGTGTTGGGCGTATATCCGATGGTACCGACTGTGTGATTGAAGACTCAATATCCGGCGGATAGCGCCTCGGCAGAGCCTCAGTAGATTTGTAGCGGCGTATCGGACGCTACGCAGGCTGACCTCTCGGCTGTAGCTGTACCATTCTCCATTACGATAAGCCGAAACAAAGTCTGGTCACGACATCTGAAGAACAACACTACACACGCGTTGCGTAACTTTTCTATTGTTTTTTTTTTTTCAATGTTAGGCAATTTTGTGCAACTTGTCCGATAAGTTGTTTTTCCTTAATTCCAGCAGACGTCAATGTCGATGTTAGGTCTTCATCCGAGGCCATCGTACCAACATTCAAATCTTGTTTTGCAAAAAAAAAAAAACGAACCAAAGCTCTTGATAAGAGTTGGATCAAAGACAAACGAAGCGAAAATAGAACGAGGTCCGCTCACTGATCTACGTTCAATTCGTGTTTACAGAATCTCATATTGCTCCGACCGATTGTTTACCGACCGTGTCTGAGAAGTGGAATGTCTTTTTGTCGATTTTTATGCCCGTACTCGACAAGCACGCGCCGATGCGGTCGGTTCGGGTCCGTAACCCGACTGCCCCTCCCATCTCGGCTGCTACACGAGACCTGATGTGTCGCCGCCGCGCCGCCCTGCGCGCGGGTGGACGGAGCGCGCCCGAGTACCGCCAGCTTAACCGTGCCGTGCGAGCTGCCATCCGCCGTGATACCCGACAGAGTATCGAGGAGGGTATCAGGGAGCGCGGGCCGCGGGCCGCCTGGCGGAGCGTGCGGGGGGTTGTGGCTGGCAAGCGCTCTGGCACACCGGTGCTACCTCAGCTACCCAGCGAGGAGCTGAACCACTTCTTCGTCTCTGTCGGACCGCGAGTGGCCGCCGAGGTGGCGGACCGGGACCGGGGTGCTGCTCGATCCGTCGCGTGCCGTTTACCGCGTGTGGGGGCGTGTGGTTTTACTGTATCACCTATCGATATTGACACTTTGACCAGCACGCTGCTCAGCATGCGCAACTCGACCGCCCGCGGTGCTGATGATATCTGTATCAGGGTGCTGAAGGCCAGTTTCCCCGCTGTCGGCGCCGTACTCCTTCACATCATCAACTCCTGCCTGACCCAGTCTGACTATCCTGCTTCCTGGAAACACTCCCTTATCCACCCTATCCACAAGTCCGGTGACCCTTCCGACCCATCCAATTTCCGACCAATCTCAATCATTCCAGTCATCTCAAAGGTGGTGGAAAAGGTGGTTCAGCACCAACTTTACCACTACCTATCCTCAAACCACCTCCTCTCTCCCAACCAGCACGGTTTCCGTCCACACCATTCGACGGAAACCGCGCTGGTGACAGTCACCGACGACATCCTTAGTGCCGCCGACAGCGGGGAGATCTCTCTTCTGTGCCTAATAGATTTAAGCAAGTGTTTCGATGTCATTGACCATGATATACTACTCAGCAAACTGCACTTGTACGGCATCGACACTGCATGGTTTGCGGCCTATCTGAGCGGTCACACTCAGAGCGTGACTCTGCGTGACTGCGCCGGCGCCCAGCGTGTCTCGCCCCCGCTCCCCAACTCTATGGGCGTGTTCCAGGGCTCTGCCCTGGGGCCATTGCTGTTTACGGTGTTCTCAAACGACCTGTCACTCCATGCAAACGATGCCAAGGTTCTGCAGTACGCTGACGACACCCAGGTGATGGTCTCAGGCAAAAAGAGCGAACTTTCGGCGCTCATCTCTCGAATGGAAAATTCTCTCGCATCTTTGGATAACTGGTTCTGCGCGAACGCCCTCAAGGTCAACGCGAACAAAACTCAACTCATTGCTCTTGGAAACCGTCAAAATTTGCGCAAACTACCAAATTTCACAGTCGCCTTCCGTGACACAAATCTCGTGCCTTGTAACGAGGTGAAAAATCTGGGTGTGACTTTCGACTCAAACATGTCCTGGGACTGTCACGTGGGTGCCGTCAGCCGCCGCTGCACTGGGACCCTCATCGGTCTCTCACAGGTACGACACGTCGTGCCCCGGGGCATATTCGTCTCTCTTGTGACAGCCCTGGTTCTCTCGCAGGTTCGCTATTGCATATCAGTTTATGGCAACGGCTCAAAAAAGAACACAGCTAGAATCCAAAAAATCCTTAACTTTGCAGCAAAAGTTATTTTCGGCCGGAGAAAATTTGACCATGCGAGTGACCTGCTGGAGAACCTGGGCTGGCTGGGGGCTCAGCAACTCGCTGAGTACAGTACGCTCTGCCTCACGCAGAAACTGCTCTCGAGTGGCGAGCCGGTCTCCCTCGCGGCCGTCCTCCGCTCGAACTCGGACGTACGTGAGCGCACGACCAGGCAGGACAGTCATCTCCATGTACCACGGTCAAGAACCGAGGCGGGGAAACGGCGTTTCTGTGCGAGAGCCCCGAGGCTTCACAACCAGCTGCCACCTGAGACCGTTTCCCTCAGAGGGAAACGCTTCCAACGAGCCCTGAAGCGACAGATGCGGAGCCGGACGCTGTCTTTAAACTGAAGTAAGGTCGTCTGACTCAGTGTGTGTGCGTGTGTGTGTGTGACTTGGTATGTTTCGGTTGTGTAGGCGCTGCTCGTACGTCTGCTCGACTCAGCTGCTCGGTGCGCGGTTAGGTCGACAGTAGCGCCCCCCGTGGCCCTCCTGCTTGCGTAGCTCGGCAATAGATGGCACCGCCGGCTAGTGGCAGTACATGTGTATGTGTGTCAGTATTAGCGCAGTATAGTGATGGCCGTATTGAACTTTCGGTTGGCGTTTGTTTTTTGATTGTCGTCATTGGCTTAAGATATCTCGGCATATTATGTGTCGTGACCCTCATTATTATATGTGGCGATTTGGTATACCTGTCTTTTCGGTTTCTGCGTTGAGTTGGACGTGTGGCGCGGCGTGCCCTGTTGCGCCCGGTTTTTGGTGCGAATCATCCGTGGCGCCTGCTTCTGTTGGTGGCGCCGGTTGGTGCGGCGCTCGACGTACTGGTGGCGCCG